AATCGCATCACACGTGTCTTTTACTTCTTCCCGGCCTGCGTTTTGCCCTGTCTGCTGGCCAAGTATTGCTAATCACACCCCCTGTTGCAGATGACGATGCGCCACGCCGCGTTGGCTAATATTGTTACTTACATTAATTAAGTAGGAAGTTAATTTCGGCGGATGAGCAATATCGTGATGATGTGAACTTGGGTTTTGTTAGTAAGGGACACGTCTTGCGCCTTACTACTTAAGAAGTGGTGTGTATACCGGGGGTGATTGTGACGACGAATGCTTCTGCCGGCAGCAACGAATTGATTTTTAGGTCAAAATTTCGTCTGCAATCGCATCACACGTGTCTTTTACTTCTTCCCGGCCTGCGTTTTGCCCTGTCCGCTGGCCAAGTATCGATAATCACAACCCCTGTTGCGGACGGCGATGCGGCACGCCGCATTGGCTCTCTATTTTAGTGGCTAGTATTGTTACTTACGTAAATTTAGTAGGAAGTTAATTTCGGAGGATGAGCAATATCGTAGTAATGATGCGAACTTGGGCTTTGTTAGTGAGTAGGCAAGTCACGAGCGGACCTATGTAGTAAGTGGAGCTTCGTGTGTGGATCATGTCAATTTGGTTCTACGTGAACTGAGGCAATTTTTTTAAATAAACCATTGATGGTAATCTTCCGCGTCAACTTCGGGCTCCGTGATGACAACAAATTGATTAAAACAAAGTCCCAATGTGCTTGATTTATTTACTCAGCAAAACATCGGATTTTGTTTAAACGTGCTCAAATCGGTAACTCTTAACGGGAGGCCATGGAGTTAATTTCAAATTGGTGATTCCGCAACGCTCCCTCCGTAGGCACATAATTTGAATTAGCCAATCAGAAAACAGCAGTTTGGTCTCATGCACTGGGCTTGCATTTGGCGAATTTGAACACTTACAGACAAGGAAAATTTTACGGACGGTACTTATCAATGGCATTATCTTACCTTCGCAACTTGATTTATTGGTCGGTCAACCTGAGATATTGGATTTTGAAGCTAACATTGGTACCTTGGATAGACAGCCAATAGGATTGTAATATCCGAGCTATGCTTTCGCGGCTAGCACGAAGACGATTGGCTGGACTGAAGGGTATTCTCCATTCGTTTAATTTACGAATAACCACTACTTCGACCTACCTTAACAAGTGGTAGTGAAGAAATAATTTTTACTTCCAGTAAACCATATTAATCTACAAAAATTGACAAAAGCGGTTGGTTGTGAGAATTTGTTCCACGAAAATAAATTAGTAATCGATTTGGCCGGCTGGTGCTGAAATTGAAACACCTAACGCTATTACGTCTTACATAATACCCAAACACAAACCCATTTTCAAAAACAAATTACTGCATTTCAAATACAGGCATCGCATTATGGCCAGGCTGTTAAACATTTAGTGTGCTTTTGAACGCCACGGAACACAAAAGTTTACCAGTCAATAAAAAAACTAACTGCGTAGAGCAATGATCCAAGAAACGATGAGCTGAATTTAATTGGTCGGTGCTAAGAACCAATGAATGATGAGCGAATGTACCTTGCATTGCATTATTTAGCCCAACTTTTTAATCCAAACCTTAGTCAACACATAATTTTAAAATATAGCCAAACAATTGCTTGTTTTCACTTGCTGTTTTCACTGACTACAAGCGACTGACGCACATGACATTTACCCACCAATTTTCAGAATTTATTACGTCTGTGCTGATCCAAATAAACCACCTGATTTTAGTTAGCGCTTCGTCACTTCAAACTCGTCGAGACAACCAATAAAAGCACGTTGGCAATTTTTCATAACTAATACTAATCACTGACTATATTAACGGGCTGCATTGGAATCAAGTTAAACAGTTTAGTCCCCTCCCTAACGGATCTTGACCGCAGGTACAATCAGTGGCCCCGTGATTAATTTCGTATCGGCACTTTGTGGTCACCGCGTAAACATGAAGTCATTTGTGGTGCGGGTGAGTTATGCTCTTGGGCCATTTGTGATCTGTCACCGCGCACTCATTTGTCCTTTTTACTCGGTTACTGAGGTCTCTTTTTTCAACACACGGTTCCATTGATGCATATCAGTATCTAAATAAAATGTCATGTCATTAGTGTAGATTGCAAAACCACATTGGTTGACGTAGCAATTTGTAGAAACGTAAGTAACCACTGTAATGGCCTAACGTGACATTTTTGTGCACCTTGAACCTGAAATTGTAGGATTTTCAGGTTGAAAATGAATTTTCGATAAAAAATTGTGGTTACGGACACCTTTATGCTTCGTCAGAAGTCATCTGTTCTCATCGATCGCTCAGCTCAAAGAGACGATGAAATCAATTTAAAATCAGCCAATCAGCATCGTGCAAACACATAACCGCCTTCCCATTGGATAGTACGGTTTTGGCGGTAGGAAAAGGTCGCTGGTTCATGTCAGATCACACAACTGGGCATGTCAATTTGACATCCCGGTTAAAATTCCGTTGTGGGGTTGTTGATGTGCCTGGATGCGTCCAAATCTCACCTCTGTATGTTTTGCGCAATGCCTCGCGATAATTGGCACGTCTTGAGGAATGTGGCAGTGTTTTGGTGTGGGGCGCTGCTTGAAAAATAGACCATTTTCGATTCTGAATGGGCGAATACTAGGCTAAGTGTGAGGACCGCTTATCAATAACACATCTACCACACACTGCCCACCAGCCTGTTTCCCGTGACACGCCCACTTTTGGCAACTGACGCCACCTGTGCCTCTGTCTGAGGTGAAGCGCGTTTTCTTCTAATAAATCGCTAGAATTGGCTAATGCATTGGTCGGTTGGTTGTTTATCTAAAGTACATTTTGCCGACATTTGACATTTTAGTAGCCTGGTTAATTTGGTACCAACAATTTCTGTCCTCATCGAACCGTCAAGATGATAATGATGATGCTAGTGATGATACCTTTTCAAATCTTGCCGGTGGTGTTGACAAACAAGAAGGTTCGTAGTTTAAATGTGCCAGATTGACAATGCTAACGAGATGATCGCAGTGAAAAAGGCGTTCGCACGATAACGGTACCGTAATCTCCAAGGAAGACTTCACTGAAAATCAGCTCTGGCTCAAAAAAATGTCAAAGTTTGCTTGAGAAAGCGATGAAGATTTAAAACATCAATAGAAAACACAAAATCACGCATGGATGCTCCGTGGGTCTTTGAATTGGGAATCGGCATAATATTTTCGAAGACAACTCCCTACTGGGTCTACGTATGTTCCTGTAAGTGAAAAAACACAAATATATTCTATGAAGCATGTTTTATGGTGTTTGCGGCGGTAATGGAGGGTAATTAGCGCTTGATCACTTTCTTGCCAAACGCAACAGCTGCTCCTGCTGGCGTCGATCGATTTTCTCCACGTGCGTGCTCGCTCGAGTTATTGATAGCCTCGCGAATGTTACGCGTCAGCCACGTTCACAGGGCAAAAATCATTTTTCCGTGTTTAAAAATACCTTGTTTCTCCTCATAACTCTTGCAAACCACAACGCAGTTTTATCAACTCCAGTGAGATTTCAGTTTGGCCCACATTCCCGCTACAACTACAGTTAGCATAATATTAGCAGCGCACATTTATGCACATTGAAATAGTTATAATTTTCGTGGTTGTTTGTCAACAAAAACATTAGCAACAAAAGTCCACATAACTGATCACCCTCTTTGACCAATTGAGTCAGACTGCAGTCTGGTATAAGGCAGGAATTAGATTTTGAGAAAAACGTGCTGAGTTTTCATAGATGCTCGTTTCGGGCGCTTACACGAAAATAATTATTCGTTTAATTCATTTAGACACCAAGAAGGAGGATACACTGAAATAACCCTGTCTTTTCGGGTTATCTTAGTGACTGTCATTTTGGTTCCAAGTAAAATCAACAAATTTTATACCACCGCTTACCACCTATGTTGAAATTGGGCTGTTTAAAAATACTTACTATCAATTTTCATGCTTGGAAGAGAAAGGCATTTTAGCGAAAAAAACCTTGTTTCCACAGACGTTGAAAGAGACTGGAGATTTGAATTTGGGTACCCCTAACCTTGACCGGTCAAGTTAGTTGGTTCTCTACAAAATAAATTGCATGACACAATTTGACTCCTAATCCAAAACTACAAAGCATTCACAAAGAAAGAATTCAGATACCTATCTAACCTCTCTAGGCCTTGACAAAAATGGAGAGTGCATTATGGAATACTAAATTTCAAATTTCACGAATCTGTGTTGTTTTTGCTTTGGTTTCAAATCCGACACCTTGAATCAACATTTGCAAAATACCTTCCTATACGCCATTATGTCGTGAATGTTATGAACAAATCATTAATTGTATTAATTAATGCTTTATCATCTCACAGCTGAATTGAACCAATAATCGATTACGCAGTCGATTTGGCTGATTTGAGCTGCTTTCACGCAACTAACCAATCAAATCAGAAGTTGACTATCAGCAACCAATCAGCAGCAGGCAAGGAAAAATAAACCGAATTTTTACATCACTCCAACAAGACAATGTAAGATTTTACACATTTTTTTAAAAATCGTGAAAAATTATTATTATTATTAAACAGTTTTCATGCTGCTCAATGCGCTGAAATTAACGCTAAATTTTTAGAGCTTATGGCAAAAAAGACCTAAGTTATAACGACTACTACTTTCAAAGGAAATTATTTTGCCTTCGTCATTTTTGTCATAAATTAACCAGAACACAGATTCTAGGTAGCAATTGAACAAACTGAAAAAGGTGCTTTTTCGACATATTGCATTGTCCCGCGTGTGCATCTGTGTTTGTGCGTGTAAATATTTTCAGGAAAAACCAGTCCACTTTGCGTTAATTAGAAACGTGTGCGTATGTGAGCGATTGTGCATAGGGAGGATAAATTTTGGCATCTAACATTGTTATGGCATTGCAAAGGAAATGCAAATGAATGCAACGGCCCACTACGTCTGTGATCGCGATCAGACGTAAGTTGTGCAAAATTGTTTTAGTTATGTTAAATCCCCTTGACTTTTCAAAAATAGGCACGTTCTTCAGGCAACATTGGTTCAAAGATTTAATTACCAGTTGAAATAATAATTTCCAACAGATAGGGAGAAATAATTGATTAACACAGAATGAAAATGTCGGTTTGTTAGTCAATTCTAGTACAGGCTAAACTCGAATTTGCCATCACGAATGTGTGTTGATTGGCCAGTGAGGCCAAATCAGTAACCTAGGAATAACCAATCACCATAAAGTCGGTTTCTTAACTGTCAGCTTATGATGTGCATTGGTGTGTGAATCGTAATCACGAGTTCACCAGAAGACTGTGTGGTGATTGGCCAGCATTGTTAGAAGACACTAAATCAAATCGATATATCAAAAATCCAGGAATTTGATTAGTGCACTGCGCAGGATATTTGTTGTAGCCAATAGAATATCCAGTTCATTGTAATTGCAATTTTGCAAAATTTTCAACTAGTCATGTTTGCCCCAATTGCGCTAATGTCATATGTGTGCGAAATATCAGTTAATCTTTTCCTTGAATCAGAATTCAGATAAAAATCGATGATTGGCTAGAACACGTTACCGATGCCGGCATAAGTATAAGGTGTTCTAGTGATCTAGCTGCCACGATCGATCATAAACAGTGTTTGTCAAACTGGATGAGTCTTAAGCTACCACGTCGAAATCACTCACACCGTAACTGCTTTTGGTGACAACGGTTTCACTGACACAAACTGGCGCCATGGTAAGTGATCTGATTGTGGCTTTAATTAATCACCGCTTCAATAATCTAGGAAAACCATTTATTCGTTTGGGCGCCACTGGCCACCGTGAAGAGCATGCTAATTACAAGAGTCATTAGGCACCGGTTCGACCATGCAGGTCTTCAACAATTAGCCACGCTACTTCCTCCCATGTTGGCATATACGACCTGACCTTGAATTGGCCAATAGTGAATGAGCGAAATCAGAGCGTTTTGTGTTTAAATGAGGTGACTTATGATTCATACCGCAAATCTTAATTTGTATTTATTGTAAAAGCAGAATGGAATTGAGACTTTACGGAAATCCCACGAGTACAACCACAGTTAATTTAATGAAAGCAATATAGTCTGTTGTGAATTGTGTTTATTCACACCCCCCTAATCCGGTAGCTCCACCTCCGACACGGAGTCCCCCTTTTCGCAGCATGTCGCTAGCCGCACGGATCCTCAACTCCCCCCTCATTTACTCGAATATTTATCTTGGATTATCCTCACACCTAGGTCTCAATGTTAGCGCATGTATGACTCCCACATCCGAGGTATAAATACACACGCGCAAACCCCACACACGACACAACGACACCAACGTTGTTGAGCTCTGAGGTAAACGGTTGTGTCCACGTCCTCTCCTGCCTTTTTCTCCATCGCAGGCATCAGGGAAACGTAATTGGACCAGGGTTGATTCAGTGGACCCGGCGTGGTTCAAGACCAACAAGTCCTTGTTCTACGCTTTCAGAAAGGTGTCTAAAAATTGGGTAGAAGAGGGAACATGATGCTGTGGCAAGTGGATACTTTAGCCACCCCTAAGTACCCGCTGCGGACATAACTCTTCCTTTGTTTAAATCAATCGGCGGGCAGCTGGTAGCCTGTAAATGTTGCACGTGATTTTCACCACTTCGTCAACTTGATACTGATTAGCAAAGATGGCTTCCACAAAATGCAAACTCAACGTTACCTGAAAGCACAAAACGCAGTTTCACTTGTCTTCTTAATCACATGACAGGTCATCTCTGTGAATTCTTACTACACTCTAGCAACTAGCGCTTTTTTAGACAAAATAGTCAGTTTTCTTGTGTGAAAAAGTTTTCTCGTTGTGCAAACACGATGCATTTGGCCAATAGGCTCATTTGGTTTGCGATTAACGTGGGTTCATTTTCACCATATACGAACTAGTCGAATTCCATTGGTCGACTTCGGAAATTTAATTAGACACATTCAAGAAACATGAATGAATGAATCCCAACACGTAGAGTAATGGGAAAATTTGTAGGCTTTTGAACTTTAAATTCAGTTTTTCGCTGATCTAAATGTAGGCGATGAAAACGATGTTATTATTGCTAGTCGATAGCTCATTGGACAATTATGAGGATTGAAATACAAATCAGAATGAACGCTTTTGGTTCTGCTGCTACGGTATTTTTGGAAAATTAGAAGAATTTGCAAAGAACTTGTCGTTATTAATATCATTTGCGCATTCAGTGGAGCCACTGTAGTCTACGATCAAATGTTGGTAATTTCGAAGACCTATCCAGCCGTCTTCTAGGATTGACAATAACTATGTCGATGTGACACTAGGGAAATCAAGTATTTCGTTTACCATTTATTCCACCTGTCAATAACCGCTCCAGCTAGCTGTTGTAACCTACCAGGCCATCGATTTATCGATTGTCTAGCCCCCAAATCGGTTACCTATGCCTCAGGTTGCTCTTAAACTGCTCCAGTGCAAAATTGACTGACAGTAAGGAGTTTGGGCTTCAGGTTGCAAGGATTCAGTAACTTGATTTACGTGAGGTTTCAGAGGTACACACCCATGCACCTTGTATTTACGATTAGTCGGCTTGTCAGCCTACCTTGACGGTTTGTGCATTGTCACAAAGGCGGTGGTCAAAACGGCTAGCAAACGTGGATGGCTCGGGTGTGTCAAGGGAATTTCTCAAAAACCACTAGCCAAGGCCTTTTCTGGTACTGTTTACCGCGTTTGCAGCAAGCAGCATTAGGGTCAATTTGATTGGACGGCGTTATCGATTTGATGCTAAAGTTCGCCTTTATCAGTCTAATTAGGGTAAATATCATGTGTGCACAATTGGGTGGATTAAGGTGGCATTTCGGATCAATTAGTGGATCGGAATTATGACCACGACAAATTTTTCCTAGATTTGACTGCGCTGCGACCAATTCGTTGATACTAAATACAAAAACAATTGTCTCTCAGGGTTCCAATTTGATTTGCTCAGAGCCAGTAGATAAGAAAACAATAAAATTCCAGTGGGTTGATTATAGATGTTAAAAAACGCTACTGAATGCGGCTTGCAAACTTTAAAAATTATCACGTTCGTGGTTATTCTTGTAACGCTTACTCGTGTTGAAAATCAATGCACAAACAAAATTAGGATGTCATTTTTGTGTGGACGAAAGCCATCCTCAGAGTTTCGACGACCTCAACCTCGACGATAATAATCATGCGAAGCACCAATGATTCCAACTCTTGAGCCTTATCCATTCACACCAGAAGGCGTCATTAAAATCATTTGCGCATTCAGTGGAGCCACTGTAGTCTACGATCAAATGTTGGTAATTCAAAGTTCTGTCCAGCCGTCTTCTAGGATTAACAATAAGAAATCAGAAATGGCGTCTACGGGGGCTGTAAGCACCATATTTAGCCTTGATGACGAAGCAGTTGGACAGAGATCTACCCAAATTGATTTCAAATCGAGCTATGAGCAGTGATGGCTGCCAAGCGTTTCATTCACCATCCGGCGACCACTATTTGCCACGCTTAGTCACTTGTGTTCGTCTATTTCTAAGGGCTCAAATCGTCCCCACAATAACTACGATCTGCCCTTCAGAAAATCCTATTGGAAGAATAGGTTTTCCAATTCCTTTCGTTAAGGGTGCTAGCTGTAGTGAATCGTGTTGATTCAAGTCCAACAACCCGGTCGCAACAGCCTTGCACACACACACGTCCCCCTCTTCACGGCGTGCCCGTCAGTCACTGGGACCGCCTGCTCATCCACCCCTCTGTGTGTACCACCACCACCACCCGCTCTATCCGTGTGACCATTCAGACGCCTGTACTTCTACTAGTGCACTCAACTGTATCAGCTATCAAAACATCACTTGGTTGAACTGTCTAGTAAACGGTTGCGCCTTTCTCCACTCCGGTCTTCTTTATCTTCGCGGGAACACAGGGTGACGTGTTCGGCGTAGATTGTCGCAGTGGCCCCGGCGTGGTTCGGGACAACCTACTGGGGCCCTCAACAGTTGCTTTGTTCTGCAAACATCCATTAATTTAAAACGGTCGTAAGGGGGCAGGTGTGTGGTCGGGCAGATCGGATTTCTGTCGTCGACGTCAAAGTTGTCGATTCTGTGCCACCTCTTGCAACAAATTTGAACTCGTAACGAAAGTGGCCCAAAAATTCCCCCGTTTTTTTCCAGCATAGCACTTTTTGTTTGGGACCAAAATGAACATCTGGGATAACCAATCAAATTGTGTATTCGAATTGCCCTTATTGGATGAGAACCTTCCGCCGCATGTGGCCACAAGGGGGCAATCCTCGGTTTTGTTGAGTGTAGCCCTAACGAATTGAAGTGGACATTATTAATGTCCCCAAATCCTTAAGCGCTGATTGGTCGAAAAGCGAGCAAATAGTGTCTAGTTGCTCTCAAACTTCTGATCAACTGTACTGGTTGGCAATTGGTCAAATCGGTTATTACATAAGAGGCGGCGGCAATTTGAAGCGAAATCACTTCCTTTCCGTGTGTGAACGCCTTCCATCCTGTTTTTGCAAAAACGCCACAATTCGCAACCTTTTCGGGAATCGGCGTAGAGGTAGACAGGTTTCAACAAGTGCCTGCGCGTCAAGGTCACTGGAGCTGGTTCAAACAAATCTGCCCTGTTGGCGTCAGTGCGAGTGCCGCGCCAATTTAAATGTCAAATGTCGATGGTTTTTGACCAAATCGCCTTCAGCATCGACAAAGTGCCGATTGGCCGGATGAGGTTGTGTTTTTACACAATGAACGGTCTAATTCATGATAACACTACCAATTATTAATCGATACACATGGGAACTAACTTGTCTTGACTGAAGAATTTGGAATATATCTACACACACACAAATTTTGTGCGTGAAGTAAATAGCAGTTTCATATATTACCGTGTTATTGATTTTTACCTCTGACCTTCAACTATTGTTTTTATTGGGTTATAGCCCTAAGTTTATTTTCACAACAAGGAAATTTGATTTCAGTGTACAAGCTCTCCTTTTTTTCCTCCACAAATTTAAAAACCATGAATTGTTTTGGAAAAAAGGTGAAACATGTCAAAAGGGGTGTCAGTAGCCCATTTTTTGTCAAAACCTTCTCTTTTTACAATTCTTGGTGCTGTCAACGTTTTTGGCTGATTGAATTAGACGAGTACCGTGATTCTTTGACAAGTGACAAGTGGTTTTAAAAAAGCCACTTTAATTGGCGATGCTCCTAACTCAATATAGTACCTTTGAATTGTTGGAAAACTTGTACTTTAACCGCCACAGGTGCAGAGTCAAGAAGTAGCTTGACCAGTCAAAGTTTGCGCCAAAAATTGAGATATCCAGAGTGATACAAAGAATCGCTACTAATCCAGGTGTAGAAAGTGCAAATCAAATGCGAAAAACCAGTACACTGATTATTGATCAAACCCAAGGTTAGAAGGGTGCAAAGTCATTAGACCGGCACCTCTGTTTCGTGTCCTTCATGGGGTATGGTAATTTAAAACAAAGTGCAATCATATTGCTACCTTGTAATGCAGTTTATTGCTCATTAACGGCTTAGCGAGATCAGGGAAAAATGTCGGTGCTTACAAACACAGGCGTCTGTGGTGAAAAAAGAAACACCTATTCCTCTACGATGTAATACAGTGTTCTCATTGGTCAAATGGTTCCGTTGAATTCCATTGGTTGGCATTCAAAATTTGCTTAAATTATTTGCCAATAATAACGATTTAAACGTGATTCATGTGCCTTGATACATCACCTAATAGCATTTTAGCCTGTAAAAGTTTAAATTAACCCTCCAATGATTCTCTATAGATTAAAATCTAGGCTGAGTAACTGACGTCATCTTCCTGGCATCTGTCGTTATTTTGATGGCGCTAACCTCAGTCGGCAGATTGCGGTCAACATTCTAACCAATCACAAGTCGTGCTGACGATCGATTTTTAAACGTTAGTTGGTGGCCGCGAGTCGATTGCGCTCACGTGACTTCGCCTCCAGCTTAGAGTATTGATTTATTCGTGGAATTTGAGTGCGCCTTGCCGCTTTGTCGTGGCGCGAAGTAACTGCAAATAACTACAAAGATTTTGTAACAAATTACGTAGATTACAAGGAAATGCCAAATTGTGACGTGAAGGGGCTTTTCAGAGATCCAATGGATTGCGGCTCATTGTAATTCTGTAAACACTTCAGACGACATAGGTGGCACACCCGCAGTAAGGCAAGCACAAGTAGGCACATTTCGGTGAGTAAAACGGTTTCCGCGTGTTTGGATAATCACTTCGTGGGACTAAGAAGTCGCTTGAATACCTGCACACATGCACACTAGTAACAGGACGTGTGGAAGAGTGCGGTTTCGGAGATGTTACCTGGTGGTGAAATGTGACAGCGGATGAAAACGAAATAATTTGTCCCAGATGGTGACTCATTCAGTGGGTGTGTGTGTGAACCACTTGACTCCAGTTGATAAACATGATTTGCAAATTAAAACGCCTTTTTTTCCTCATTTTCGCAGATATCGATTTTTTATGCATCTTGAACACTGCAAAAATGTAGTTACCACATTTTAAACGCCTGTTTTTAGCTAATAAGAACAGTTGGATTTTGCGTCGGAGTGAAATTGAGTGCAAACTTGTGTGCGTCTTGAGAAATTTTGTTTTAATAATTGGATGCTGAAACATAAAAGATGGCCGCGGATACAGAGGCTGTGTTGAAATCCTTTGTTTCTACCAGCTAAAGCGCATACAGTGCGATTTCATTGGGAGATGATGCAAAACACCGATTGGCAGTCGATGTTGGAAGTGGTTTTCCTTTAAAGAGTGCATTTTCGAGAGCCGCATAATTGACCTTTTATCGCAAACCAACTTGTTATTTATTGGTTGCCACGGAAGCATCTACAGCGCAATGCTTGAAATAACAAGCGTCAGGTGAACACAGGCGATATCCACCACGTGCTGGTTGTTACAACTAGACTGTACTTGATGGAATTTGGGGCTTACGAAAACACCAATTAGCTTTCACACCAATTCTTGGTGCAATTCAGAACCTTATGATGTGGATGCGTTAGTTATGCAGTTAGTAAACACTGATTGGTTGCGACAAGTTACCGACTCCTCTTCTTGAATTGGAGGAGACGAGACAGAATTTGCGAACCATTACTAACACACGATTTCTGTCAAAAATCGTTATTATTACTACCGCATGCCTCTCTGCGAATATCAGCTACCTGTATGTCTAAACATCGGTTCATGGGAAAGCTACAATAAATTTTTGGTAAAATTAACGTATTTTCGGTGATAAAACTGTTGCCATTTTGTCAAAATAGCGGCAATTTGAATTGCACTCTTTGTCGTTTTCTGCGTTATTTTGAATCGGCGCCGGTCGCTGATTGGTTGGATAAGCGAGTAACCAGTTGCTGTAGCATGTCTGTCCGTGATTGTTTTTATCTACTGGCACTTCAATTCACGGTGAATTTGTAAAACCTGGCATTCTTCGATGTGTTCAGCTCAAAAATTGACTCGAAAAATTGGATTTTTAACACAAAACGCATTGAGGGTCATTTCAAGTTAATTTCACTGGCGACAATTCGTATTGGCATTACCTCAAGCGTTTCGTTGTTCATCTAATTTCTTATGGCGTAACTGCGATGTCCTTTTAGCGATCACACGAAAGATTGTGTGCCATGCATATGCTAATTTGTTCGCTGGGAAAAATTATTGCTTTGTAACTAATTGTCGAAATGTCATTTTTGTATTCGATTCCACAATTTAGTTTTATGATACATGTAAATGAGAATGTTAGTTAAGCAGTTGGTTGCCTTAGTCGCCAGTATTTCCATTTTAAAACATCCACAGCGCAATTTTTGAATTAACCTCGGCTTTACGTTTTTAGTTGATTAAAACAACCGCACTGAGCGCTACTATTCTATAAATGACAACAAATAAGTGTGAAATTTTCAGATACAGCTTAAAGAGATCATTTCTTCAGAGGCTAATTTGGCTTTTGAACTTTTCGGTATTCGTGCCTTTGTTGAATCAAACAAAAAACGTTTTGGAGGAGTTTGAAACATATATTTCTTTGTGTACCGTAGAAGCAACCAATCACAGACAAGGGAACCTAATGAGTCAGTGCCAAGCGGTTTTGCGGACAGCAATTAATTACGACCTTCGGCGTGCTCGTCCTAGTATCAACAAAGAACCCACGAAATATATCAACCGTCAAACAGCGTCGAATGTGGACGAGCGTGTGGTTATTGTTGTTGTTGTTTATGTGACAACCCACTCAGGGATCCACGTTTTCACCAAACGTCAATTGTGCAAATTGCACGGAGGATTAAAGGGAGATAAAAAAATCATTTATTTGTCAAAACAGCAACAAGTGTCCATTGTCGGTGTGTTGACATGCCAAGTGCAATCGACGTAAACTCCACACAGATGTAAACGCCTTGAAAATTCGTGCAACCGCGGCGTTGAAGCTGAGTTATCAAAACTGGGGCTGTCTGTCAAAGAACAACGGCGGTGTCTTGCATGTCATAGGTTAGAATCACAGTCCACAAGGCTACTCACGTCTGTCAAGCGGTCATTGGCTAATCCCCGTGACCTCCTATTGGCTGCGTCTTCAAGAAAATTTTTAAATTTTAGCCGTACATTAAAACGAAACGAAATTCTATACATTAAACGGTGCAACGGAAGATAAAAAAGCCAAGGCATCCCTCACTAGGCAGCAGTTTAATTCACGTTTCCTGTTGACCAAACATCATTTCTGCAAACTCTAAAATGATGTTACTTTTCAAGCGTGGTGCAAGGAATTTATACCACACAAGATGCATTTTTCTGCATAAACTTACAAGGTTGTACCGATGAGAATAGAGTTAATGTCAGTCACCCACAGGAGTTGAATGAAGTTATGGTGATAAAAAAAATTAATTACGCTTGGCTCTGGGAAATAAAAACGCTTTTTGTAGCTAAAAAGCAGCACACGTTTTGCTTAAAATGAGTGAACAAAAGTGTAGGACAAAAAACGTCAACCATTTCGAGAACCGTGCATAAACATCGCCTTCTGTCACTTGAGTGTTTCTGTAAAAGCTAAAATTTTTTGTTTAAATAAGTTGTAAACTGCCCCAACTGAAGGGTGGACTTTTTAAACACACGAATGTGGAGTCTCCTCACGCCATAGATTGTTGTAGTGCGACTACCTAGAATGACCAAAAAATCGATAATCGTCATCACATTGGCCAAGTTGTTTGCCGCGGCATTGAATCGGGGTTTATGAGAAGCGATTCTCACAAGTAGGTAATACAAGCGAGTTCGTGGGTTCCATGTACCCACAAGCAACAATTTCTCACTACTGGATGAAAGCTTGATTCACATGACTCAAAAATGAGCTGAAATCGTGATAATTTCAAATATCTGACGTACATCTCATTCAAACCAATCAAATTTGAATTTCAGACGTGAGAGTAACACAGTTCACTGATTGGTTAGCTTCGTCAACATGTGTACTGGCACATATCGGGTTTCAGTTTTCAAGACAAAAGTAAAATCAATTAATTATTAAAATTCTTTTCTAATGAAGGAAGACGTTGGTTGTCCGAACCAATGTCAGCCACATCGAATGACCTTCACTCCATAACACCGTGCCCAATTTAAAAAGATATGCATGGATTTAAATTATGTTATTCAAAAAAATTGCAACGCAATTTTGATTGGAGGAACCTCGTTTTTCTGTTGCCCACAGTGACCTGTTAAAAAATCGATAATTTGTTGCTGTTGTTATTGTTAAATGTGCCTTTTAACAATATCCGGAGTAATTTTGCACATAACCTTTCGAGTAAGGCAGGGGGAAGCACTAGCCAATCAAACGAAAGCACCCCTTCGTCCAAAAGTCGTACATTAACATTTAGTACGCACGCACGCGCGCTCCACCTCAGCAGCCAATCAGAACGCAGTTCCGCTTCGGACGCCCATTAAATCAGTTTGACCGGTCAGCCCTAAGCCACACCACGACAACGCCGCATGCAGGGTGCCGCAGTGCACTAAAGGAGGCAGCGATATCTCATTAACTATGCACCATCGACAATCTGGGATCTCGTTTACCAGCATGCGACTGATAAACCGGATATTGATTGTGTTAACCGTTTTCAGTGCTCTTGTGACATTGGTTGGCGGAACCACGAGTAAGTGCCTGGAATACCTGTTTTTAATTTTCCCGTTAAACGAACGCATCGAAATTTCTCGTTTCTTGGGTAATAGCACGTGTGCTGATTTGAAATGGTTCACACAACTAATTTAATTATTATTTTTTGGGCAATGTAATCACGTAATCACTGGTTTCCAAGCTCATACTCTTTCTAGTCAATCAGTGTGAAGCGTTTTCTAATTGGATGAACTTTGTGATTGGTCAATTCTAATCGATCTGTGATTTGCTCTCAAGTAATCCAATTAGCGTCACCACGTCCCACCTGGGATTTCGGCAAGGTGGGTTATTTGCGCAGTTGGGAAGTACCCACATGTTGGTGATGTCCGAACGTAATAAATAACCGTTTTTCGCGTCCAAGATTCGTTCCAACTCCGAAGCTGCAAATAAATCAGTAATCGGCACAAACTCCTCCCCTCCCCCCCCCAAAAAGCGAGTGCCCCTTGTCCCCACCAATTCTTTTCGGGGTGTTTCGGCCATGTTCACTGTTGGCGTGTGCAGAAACCACAGAATTCTTTGGCCAAAATTGTCCATCCTAGTTTTTTCTTTACCTAAATGTGTTTTCATTTTACCAAAACACGATAAATTTTGAATTCATTTGGTTGATTCTAGCGTCTTCTATTCCCCAAAACGAGTGCCTATTTAACATGTCCCCCGTGAAAGAGACTAGCTACTGCATGTGTGGGTGTTAATACGGTAAATGATAAATGATTAGCTGACACCAAGGCAGAATGACTTTTTAAGCCGTCTTGCCAGCTGGCTTATTCACTCGTGAAGCTGTGTTGACGAACGGTGACCAAAGCTAAGCATGTACATTACTGAGGTGCCACAGAAATGTGAAGAATTCCACCTGGGGTGTTGTAAATCAGTGTTAACCATAAGTGCGGCAATCACATGTACACTGTTGTATCCGACACACTAGTTAATACCTCTTCACTAGACATTGGTCAATCAATAATCGCGTCAACCAATAAGAGGACAAGCTGGATGCCAGACTCGTGTAGGTGTGGCTGATGCAATCCCCCTGAAATGTCAGTGTAAATGTCTGGTGTTTGTGTGATGTGACCGTTTCAGTCATAAAAAAGCGGCATACCATTTCGCGGTAAATAGTGGGAAGTCAAAAGTCCACAATTGACGATTGAGAAATTAGCCAATCAAATTAGCTTCCCACGCTTTCATATAGACCGCGCACTATCCTCATTGGCTCACGTCACCTCAAATAGTTGACAAGGCAAATCGTGAATTTTACCGAACTCAAGCACATCTTTTGAGACCTCAATTGTTGGAAACTTCGCCAGCTGAAGATTTTCAATGAAGGTGATCGATAAATGACTCCTCAGTATTTTACCTAAGTGACATCCACTAAACCGGGATTTGACGCCGTTCCAGCCATCTTCATACAAAGTTGAGCATGGCAGCATCGCTGTTTGGATTAGCCCAATCAGCTAATTGATGTTCAAGCTGTCCTTGCGTGTGCTAACGCAAATGTTGGAAACTAGGGCATTATTGCTACCCTATGTGAACTGCGTCACAAATCCTAGTGTCATTATCACGTAGTACTTGAAAACATCCTACTGCCCTTTTGGCACACGTAGTGCTAATAAACGTTTGGCACTAGGGCGGTTTTGGACTGAATTTCAGTTGTTAAATGCTAAAAAAAAGATGTGCGTCGCATTACACGATTTTGTGAAATGAAATATACTGAAGAAATGACATTTGTAACATTTGTGTAAATCGTCTAATTTGACTCATTAATCTCAGAGACACATAGGCACGTATTCTTCGTGCTTCAATGCTCGCTTTTAATTGGTTAATTAGCCCGAAAGGGCACTTGAAGAGACGTGATTAAACACCCAAGTGGTTATTTGTACGCACCAACTGACCATTTATTTAATCCTGACCAATCACATGACACTCGGGCAAAATTTCGAAACAGTTGTTAGGGCAACATTTTGAACGAACCCGGCTGATTGTAGAAAATAAACCAGATGTGGACGGAATCATTTCAATTCAATCAAATATTTTGTTTTTTTTAAAGCTGGTTTTATCTGTACAAATTTTTGCTTGTTTTAATTGACAAAACGCTGACCCGGGAATTCCAAGAAATGAGATGCAGTTAAGAGCCAATTTTAAACAAGTATTAAATTCGGACACAGATTCGTCCAGCCAGATTGCAGTGTTGAGTAAACGCACTCCAAAAAATGGGGTTTAAAGGGGGGTAATTTAATTCTAATTCCTGATTGGCTGATTCAGGACCCAATTGGGACGTCTCATTCCTACTGAACCGCAAGTACGGTCTGACGGCGATGAACTCTGACCTCGATTTCCCAATGGACATCAGCACGCCCGAAGACGGCTTGCTCTACTCCGTTCCAGCGCAGACGATCTTCAGCGACAAGAAATTTCCCGATGAGCCCATCTACATCCAGCTAAACTTCCAACCAAACACCTCGCTGACGGAGTTCTACTTTCTTACCATCCGTGATCCTGACGACGTTATGCGTTTCTCGCTCTCCATGTACAAGGTTATGGCCTTGGCAACTCGTAAAAAATCACCTTAGAATCGATTTTTTTAATCTTGGAACACACTTTATTTAACGCCCGAAAACAACTTGTCAGTTGATATGAAACCAACCAACAATCTTACCAAAAAACCTGTTAAATAGACATGCGTGTCCTTAAGATTCTTTTCAAAAGTTGGCTGTCCGAAATATTGATTTTTTTCACTCATGAAACAGACTTTATTTAACGCCTGAAAAGTCCTTGTTTTGTTAATATTCATTTTGAATTTGACTATCAAATTTAGACGTCATCCCACCATGAGTTGTTATGTGAGAAGAAACAACTGGCTTTTTGTTGCACAAAAAACCAATGCTTGATTTAGAAAGTGTTAACGTTTGAAAATGATCAATTTCTTACTGGTCGCCGCGTCTTCTATAGGCGATAATTATTACTACGGTTTCCCCCAATCACGAGTTGACAATGTTGAGCCAAAAAATTATTGGCTTTTACGTGTGAAACCCACCTCTCCTATTGGCTGGGGGATAAGTGGTGCTCATTGGATAAATTTTATTATTTAAAAAGAAATAACGATTGCTTAAGCTATCGAATTTGATTCTTTCAGCATGAAATCAGTCTATGCTATGCTGTTTAATCAAAAGTAATCGATTTACCTGAACCGATAAAAGCTAAATATTTATTCAAAAATAGAAATTCAGTTTACAGTTGATAAATTGATAAAAAAATTAGTGGAATTTTATAAGGCATTAGTTTCAGTGAAATGAATAATGCGTTGGTGCTAGTTAAAGTTTTAAAGCGGATTGTTTTTGCCTTACAGCGAAACATGTATCGTGTTCAAATGCGCTACAACCTACTGGAGTCCAATGAGGGAGAACGGACAATCGATTTTCCCTACCCCCAGCCTCCATCGTACTGGCGACTCGGGGTGTTGATAAAGGAGAATTCCGTAAGTTTACCCGCTTCGCACTGACCCAGCACCATCCAAATAACAGGGGACGCTGAAATGTTGATATCAGTAGCATTGTCTTTGCAGCGAAAGACATTTTGCCTGCTGCTGGCTGTTAAAATGCTCTTTTTTTGATGTGCTTTTGTATTTGGCGCTCAAACTTTCCCGGCATACTTTCGATCGCTTAAAACAAGTTTTTTTTTCGGTTTCTTCAAAAAGGCTACATGTACAGTCTAAATTGAGAGCGAAACTTTAGACATTTTAGGGATTTCGTAATTCCCGCTAATGTGTAGGGTTTTAGTTTATCCGAAACGATTCCGGATTTGTTTTAATGCAACGCAGAATAAAAAAAACTGAAAAATAAATGACTAGACTCCTGGCACAAACAGCTACTCCATATTAAATACCTCTTGCGCCAAGTCCATTTTGCGAGACAATAAAACACTGCAACCGGAAACTGTTGCTATCTCCAACGCCCGCTAATTTGCCTGTTCAGGAAGCCGCCTGCCAGCGAGACGCTGAGTCAGCGTAGAAATCGATTTTTTAATCGATTTTCTTCATCGGTTGCGTCATCACGCACAGCGCACCCACCCGACGCGTAACTCAACATTCCCAAATCATTAAATTTATCACACAAAAGATTTTTATAAAAAAAAGGGAAGATTTTTTTTTAAATAAAACACAGCAACCGGAAACTGTTGCAATCTCCAACGCCCGCTAATTTGCCTATTCAGGAAGCTGCCTGCCAGCGAGACGCTGAGTCAGCGCAGAAATCGATTTTTTAATCGATTTTCTTCCTCGGTTGCGTCATCACGCAGTGCGCACCCACACGACGCGTAACTCAGCATTCCCAAATCGCTTAATTTAAATTTATCATACAAAAGATTTTTTTATAGAAAAAAGGGAATGGTTTAGTTTAAACAAAAGTGGAAGCATTGGCACAATCAAGCAACACAACAGCTTTCAATGTGGAACAAGGCCTGACGCACTACGACGAATGCCACGTGGGTGGACGCCCACGCCGAACAGCTAATCTCGCCTTCCAGCTTAGTCATTCCGGGGGGCGGGAGGGGGCGATGTGAGGTGGGATTGTTCTTTTCCCTGGTTGGGGTGGTACAGACTGCCAATTTGTGGGATTGTTTGATGAATCAGTAGGGCTCTCTATCCACGCGGCCGCGGTTGTCGATGTCAAGTTCACCCCGTATCACATTGGTGGCAAAGAACTTGAAAGGTTTAATCAGAAATCGGTCATTTCGTTGATCCGATAGCAAAATTATTAAAAAGAATCACCTCTTATAAACCTAGGAGGATCATCAGTATTAAGCTGCATTTGATGTCGTTGGAATCTCCTTAACTAAGAAATCTTAATTCACTACAGCTACTAATAGGTATTTAAGTAGTCCTTTTTGTAACTTTTTCTAGGTGCAATTTTTCACCAACTGTCCGAGATTCCAGACAGCGCCCTTCCACGAGGAGACTGGCGTCAAATTGCTGGGACGTCCGCTTTTCCGCGACGGCGCGTCTGCTTACCTCCTCAACAGTGGTCGCCAAAGTAGCCCCAAGTACTTGGAGGTAATGCTGAAAAAAAAAATCGAAATCAGTTTTCTCCGATTTCTGTCGATTACGGTGGGAAAAGAGGGCTAAAATTTAGGCCACAACACATGACACGCTTTCTTCTGTAGGGCGTCCTCACGGAATTCACTTTTCATTCCGGCCACGATGTTGAGATGGCGCCGTGCAAGACCACAGTGGTGAGTCGGTTTGGCAATTCAGCTGTTGTTATTCCTGCTACAGACATTTTCACCAGACGAATAAACTGACGCTAAATTCTTTTTACAAGCTGGAAGAAGGCAGTGGAGAGCCTATGTACACATTCGACCCCGAATTCGGCAATGTTATTGTGAGTTTTCGTTGATCTGTTAATGTCCTGCTCATTGGCAAGTCTGGTTTAACGTTTGTTTGCCTTAGTGATCGATTGAATTATCGTGGTTTGAGGTGTCTAACTTTTTCGCGAGCTTCCATTTTAGTGATCGCGGATTCAGCAGATTTTTTGAAAATACATTTCTACTTATATTTGACAGTAGTATTGTGGAAACAGTGTTGTCACCGTCTGCATGTCTTAACTTCGCTGTTGTCTAGTCTGATCGCTTTTTCACGCAGGTACCACCTTCAGCAGAGCCCCAATCACGGGTCAGTTGTCATTTCTTTCCCATTATCGATTTGACAAATGGCGTTGTTCGGCTTTTCGACCCAAAGGCGAAATCTGTCTTGATGGAGTCGCAAGTTTACGGTGGAGTGGTACACTTCACCAACGGCACGGTAATGCGACCCTGCAAGAGCTTTGTAGCGCTTGAGGACCCCGTCAAGGTCGTCACAGTGGTTAACCTCAGCACCGGTGACGTGGAATTGATTGACACGGCCGCCAACCGTAGCCTCGCCAAGTCGTTGGTCTCGAAGAGGCTTCCAGCTGACCTTCAGCAGCTAGAAGTTCGACCTGTCTTGACGTGGAAGAACTTCACTGTGGAAATCGACACGCTGAATGGCAGGTGGATGGTTAGGAACCACCAGACGGGGCAATTTGTTGCAGCGAAGAACGTGGAAAACGGGCAGATCATTATGCCGTCTGGTGAGGTAATTCCAATTCCGCTGAAGATTCGGAATCCACGATACGTGCTTATGCTGGCACCCCACTCTGGTTACGTCAGAATCTTCAGGAGATCCGATGGCAGGATGTACAAAAGAGTAATCTATGTGCCAACGTTTACAACAACCACTTGGAAACCTGAGGCGTCTACTGTCGTGCCAGAAGCTGGGGAAGTGTCTACGCCTTCCATGGTGGAGTTTGTGACAGACTCTACGGCGACGTCCATTTCAACACCACTTATTGAAACCGCTAATGTGCCTTGCGTGTATCTTCCAATTGTTGATTTGACGGATGGTTCTGTACATCTCTACTTAAGGAACGAGGACAGAGTCGTGATGGAGTCCTACGTGAGGGACGGCATAGTGGTGTTCGACAATGGCACGAGGATGACGGTGTGTGACGCCTTCGTTGCCTTCGACGATCCACTGTCCTCCATCACAAAGATCAACCTCGGAACGGGTGAGGTTGAGTTAAAAGATAGTGAGGACAAGGTAACGCTAATGAAATCAGATGTTTCACATGGGCTACCCGTGGATTCGAGCAAGACGCGCGTGGTTTTGACATGGAAGAATGTGACAGTTAGAATTGACACGCGAAATGGTGATTGGTTCGTCAGTGATCCAGAAACGGGGGAATTAACAAAGGCCAAGGAAGTAGCTAACGGAGTAGTTGTCATGCCAGACGGAGCCGATATTTCGATAAAGCTAAAAATAAAAAACAGGAAAAAGTACTCGCTGATGCTAGCGCCAACAGCGGGAACAATAGGAGTCTACAAAAAAAGAAATGGCAAATTGAAGCGAAAAATTAATTACAACACAAGATCAAAAAGAGAGGCAAGCTATGAACCAGAAAAGAGTATGACAACGATAAATATGAAAATGAAAGACAAAGGTCAGCAGGAAGAAGGCACATTTTCAAAAGACATTACGAAGAAGACTACATACACAAAGTCAACATCTAGAGTCACTGCATCGACGGCAGGTGAAGGAGAAGAGGTGGCAGCGGCAGCAGGAGTACCGGCAGTAGAGGAGTTGGTTGAAGTGCCAGTTGGGTTGACCAGTGACACTAGCAGCAGCAGCAGCGGCGGTATCAGCAGCAGCACAGCCGGCGTCGAGACAGAGGAGAAGGCGGCAGAAGACGTGTCGACAATGGCTGCGGCGCTGACTGCGACGACG